TTGTTCACGTGCTCGTGTTTCAGATATTCTAACCAAATTGTTTTTCTGATATTTTTTCTTAAATAAAAACTTCGACAAAAGTCATTAAGAGGTTCTTATAATAAATTAGTTAAAGAAAAACATATAAAGTTTATTTACTTATCTAAGTTAGGTTTAGTACATAGATACATAGTTAGTTATCTGCGTTCTGTCGGCCACGAGGGATTGAAACCCGAATTCTAACGTTTAAAGGCCTGCAGCTTACTGTCGTCAAAAACAGGTTTAAATTTCAATGGTTAGAAGCACTGAATCATAATGCAAAGTAAAAAGATATTAAACTTCCAAGCGAAAATGCGTACTTTTAACATTAGGATGAACCTTATATATGAAGTTTAAAAAAAAATAGAGTTCAAAATACTATATAAGAATATTGGTAAAAGGGATAAAATTTAGTTTATACGTCATTGTGGGTGTCTGTGTTTACTAGGTTCAAGACTACTGAAAAATCACTGACGAGAGAGGTTTGAGCTGGGCAATATCCTATTTCGTGCTAATGTATAACACAAATTATGTTATGTATTACAATTTCTAATGGCCTAAAACTGAGTTAAATTGTAATTTAGATTTAGTATTTAAATAAATGCCGATATGTGTCCAATTTATGATATTTGCCAACAAGATTGATACACACAGTTTATTTATTTTTTTAATATAGATATATTTTAATATACAAACAGTAATACAATTTACAAGAACAGTTATTACAAATAGTTATTACAAACAATGATTTATATACAAAAGTTTTACAAACTTACAAGCAATATAAAGTCTTCTTTCTAGTCTGGAACTTTCTTGATATCTTATCAATGGTTCACGATGAACGAGTTAATTTCGAGTTGAAGTAGGTACAATTCATTTAATGGGGAGCTAGCTAGCTCTGTGGATCTCGCTGATCACACGCCGATTACAGGTAGAACTTCTTTTACCACTGAAGTTATATAATGTTTTCGTAAAAATACTGATGCCCTATGTAGATCCACTGACGTTAAATAATTTGTAATGTTCGAACTTTATAAATGTTCCTGGTCAATAGATCTGAAGTTCCCGAGTAATAGGCGTTAATCACAATTATAGCTTACGAAGCAAACCAATAATATATACTCTAGCTAGCTCCTTATTAAGCGAATTGTACCTACTTCAACTCGAAATTAACTTGCTCATCGTGAACCATTGATAAGATATCAAGAAAGCTACAGACTAGAGAGAAGACTTTATATTGTTTGTAAGTTTGTGAAACGTTTGTATATAAATCATTGTTTGTAATAACTATTTATAATAACTGTTATTGTAAATTGTATTATTGTTTCTATATTAAAATATATCTATATTAAAAAAGAAAACTGTGTGTATCAATCTTGTTGGCAAATATCATAAATTGGACATATATCGGCATTTATTTAACTACTAAATCTAAATTACAATTTAACTCAGTTTTAGGATATTAGAAATTGTAATACGTAACACAAACTAGAATGTTACCCAGATCTAATAGTTAAGACACAATTCGCTCTCGCACACTATATATATATCTCTTAAAGCTTTCCAGTGCTCTTGGTGGGAACCCGTCATCTGTGAGGAAAGAGCTTTTTGATGTAAGTTTCAGGAGTTCTGTGCACCTATTCCTGCTGCTGGCTTCTCTAAATTGCCGTATAGAGTGACATGTTGACTGTGGTATCTCTGTGCATAAGATACAAACTTAAATAATCAATGACGAGAGCGCTGTTAAATCCTGGGATCAAAGAAGGTAACTTTGAGAGCCAAGCTGGACAATAAATGCTTTAGAAAGCAGGATTTAGTTAATGAAAGTGCTGAAATAAACGCTTTTGAAATAGTTTATCTCAGGCAAGGCACAAACTGGCTTTTAAATTCTTTCTGTATTAACTTATTTGTGGCATTTAATATTACTACCAGAAACGCCGCCCTACTGGGTGTTGTTTGTACTGCTAATTATTAATCGTAGTATTCATACGTCATTGAAAAAAATTAGAAAAAGTGAACATTTTCTTTAAAAAAAATATTTTTTTCTGGGAAGTACTGCACAAGAAAAGTGTTCGGATTGTACTCTTTAGTTATACGCAACTCATCGTATCAAAATGATTCAATGTACAGAGCTCAAAATGGTCATACATTTTACTGATATAAACTGTAATTTTTTATCTATAAAAGTGCTATCCTTTATTGAAAAAAATAATAATTTTTTTAAGAACTTCAGTTTCCAGTACTACATTTAAAAATTACATCAATAAAGATATTAGCAAACCATGACATACAGTCCTAGTGAAAGTCGTATTCATATTGAGAGGAGAGTACTTTTATTTAAAATTGTGTTCTATTATAAAGAAATGGTTGTTGCACATATCAAGTTATTTTTCTGAAAGTCTGAATCCTGAATTCCCAAAGTGTGAAATTTTTTATGGATTTTTGTTTGCGGTGCCATTCAATAGATGGCTCAGGAGTTTTGGTTACATACACAGATACTGACATACACGCTATGTTCAATATAGTAAAATAACAGTATAATGTATCACTAGCTGGAGTACCCGTCCTCTGGGCGGAAGTTATATGAATTCATGATTAATCAAATGGGCTATCCGTGCTCTGCCCACCACGGGTATCGAAACCTGGTTTCTAGCGATATAAGTCCGCAGGCAAAACGCTGTGCCACTGGAGGGCTACAAGCTAAATATCTAAAATGTATGTGTAATATGAACATCTATCTAGAATATTTACATTATATAAATACATATATATATATATACGAAGTTAATATTAATAGATACCACAATACGTTGACTGTAATACTGTAAAGTTAAAACTAAAAAACACTTTTCCTGAATATTTGTTTTTGAAGCCAAGAAGTAAGTACTTGTGGTATGTAATTGCATTAAGAGCTGTGGAATAACGAATAATATAATTCGCCCTCAGCTTACGATGAGCAAAAGAAAGAAAATTATGTTATATACGCCAACAAAGGTTACTGATTGCTCACGCTGTTATTTTGTCCCGTATACGCGATGCTCTGCTATTACATGCCTGACATGCACGTTCAGCTGTCTGACAGCTGATTGGACGGTGTACTGAGGGGAAAACATTTTGTAGCTGGTATGACAGAAGGAAGAAAGAATGTGAGCAATATGGTGTTTGTTACAGCTTGAAACTTACTGCGCTCAGAATACAGAGCAAGTTATCGATTAGGGCGCATGACTAGGGGTACATAGCAATGTTGTTGCAATATGTTTGCGTGTGGATAGATGTTTTATACTTATAACTGATAGCTCACATAATTTCCTGGAAATATTTTATGTATTAAACTCTCCCATGGGGGGAGCTCTTTTACTTAACATGAATATACACTGTTGTCCAAAAGTCCTATCTTTTAGACATCAATGTATAAAGAAAATATTAGCACAAATCTTACCTAAAATACAAAAGCTAATGTATAACTAGATGTATTTCCGCAGGGTCCTCGAAAGTGTTCTGTTTCAAAAGTATACAAAACCAAAATTAAGATTAACAAAAATTTTTATTTCCTGCTTTTGAAGTTCATATGCCATGCTATGTTGTAGCCTACAGAGTGCGTAATTCTTCTCGTGGTTCATGGCAAGCGCAAGTTTTCCTGACACGTCACGGCAGTACAAATTGCAACGTTAAACGTCCCTTATTTGACATCCTTTTAGTGTTTACTGACTGACTGACAGACAACATATTACTATATAGTTGTGTGAGGGGTTTAAACAGGTGACCCTCCCAGGGGGCCTTCGACCCCCTTTCGAGGAAATGATGTAATACCAATGAAGCTGATATGGAGGTAGAAGTAATACTGATAACCATTATTTGCGATATCACACCTGAACAAGTAATACTAATAACCATAAGCTAGAGATATAAAACTGAACAGTGATATTAATAACCATAATATAGATATAAAGCACTTGAATAATAACCACAAGTTAGAGATATAAACCTGAACAGTAATATTAATAACCATAAGTTGGAGATATAAAACTGAACAAGTGATAATAATAACCATAATCTAACGATGTAACATCTGAATACGTTATACTAATAACCCCAATCTAGTGCTATCACACCTGAATAAGTAATACTAATAACCATAAGCTAGAGATGTAATAACTGAATAAGTAATACTAATAATCATAAGTTAGAGATGTAATAACTGAATAAGTAATACTAATAACCATAAGTTAGATGTGTAATAACTGAATAAGTAATACTATTAAGCATAATCTAAAGATATAACATAAATAAATAAATATCACAGGTATATATATAATAAATTAATAGTAGAAAATTATTTATGCTAATAATAGATCTTGTCAGGCTAGTGGTTAATATGGCAGATTTTGGATTGGAAATCCCCAAGGATCGAGTAGCCATTTGTTTGTGGGCGCGTTATAATCGTTACAATCAGTTCCGTTATTTAGTTTAATGTAGCTGCATAGCTGGGGAGTGTTGCTAACTGGTTGTCCTCTCTCTCTTGTCAACAGTTCTAAATTAGATTGGCTGTGACCTGATTGTTTAACCCATGTTCACACAAGGTACTGTTCAGGTGGCGAGTGCTGTTGACAGGTTGTCCTCTTTCTGGTCAACAGTTCTAAATTGAGATAGCTCTTCAAACAAAATGCATCAAAACAGCTTTAGGTGTTCAATTGATTCAATTGCAGTTTTACTCAAATACTATATAATACAGTATGTTGTGAATAAGTAATAATTTTAACTATAATCAATATAGTGTGTGAAAAGTTGACACCAAAAAAAAAAAAAGATAATGCTTATAGTAAGTGTGTCCCCTTTAACAGAAAAGAAGTGTTAATGATTAAAGATATGTTTATAAATACACGTGTAAAAATTACAGGATGTAATATGATGTTTAGATGTAAATGTTACGCGAATTTACACAAAATTCAACCAAATAATTCGATGAATGTTTTTATCTACAGCACATCCTTACTATTTTAATCAACTGTCTTGTGGATTGGATATGGTATCTCTAGCAGGAGAATGGCTGACTGCTGCTGCAAATACTAACATGTAAGTGGTAGATATTTATTCATTTTTTGTCTGTTTTTTTGATATATCTTAAAATCCAAATAGATTTACTGAAGTATTATGACATACTTCTGTGTTTCTTTTCTTTTTCTTTTTCTCTTTTTTGGTCGCATTTTTCTTCATTTGGTAACAACGAATATGAAACCAAGAGGCTTAATTACGGACATGTATTTTTCCTTCCATGAGTCATGACCCGGGATGTCTTTCTCTCGGTGCTAGGACTTTCAGCTAAGTTCTACCTGTAGTGGCCAAAATATGATCTGAAATGTTTTTGTATGAAAAACTTCTAAAATCTAAAACGACTAACTTGACAATGCAAGAAAGAACTTTGGGTATTCCAAATTACTGTCCCAAAGCACAAGCAGTTAACGTTAGATCCAAAAGTTTTGTTGAATGTTTTAGCAATTTTTGTTGTTGTTTTTATGAACTATGTTTGACGAACAAGTACAACGTTGTGAATGACCCTTTATTCCTTTATTTAAGATAGACGCGGATTCTTGGAGTAAAATAATTTAAAATTAATATATCTTTGATTGAAAGGACTTAAATTTGAGTGTTTATATAAATATCATCTTTCATATTACGATCAAAGGTACTTACATTACGTATGTCTTGATTTTGTTCATCGTATTGAGATCTTGATACAACGATTTTTAGTTATTTTTATACTGTATTGTGTTCATTACAAGATAACGGATAGTTAGTTGTCCAAAACGTCACAGTCTCTTACAGTATGAGTTAGTTAATACACTGGAAGACCCAAAACGGTATATAATGTTCAGTCCGGTATGGCGCATTAGGGCATAATGATAGATAATTATACGTTTTTATATGAGCTCTATAACTGTCAGTCGTGTTGTTTTCTGAAACATAACACTTCTTGCTTCATGACTCTCTACATATGTCTACATCATAAAGGTAAGACTCTACATACATCTATACACACGGTATATTTACCTCATGAAGGTAAGACTTACATAAAGTATATTTCCTCATGAAGGTAAGACTCTACATACATCTATACACACGGTATATTTACCTCATGAAGGTAAGACTCTACATACAGTATATTTACCTCATGAAGGTAAGACTCCACATACAGTATATTTACCTCAAGAAGGTAAGACTCTACATACATCTATACATACAGTATATTTACCTCAAGAAGGTAAGACTCTACATACATCTATACACACGGTATATTTACCTCATGAAGGTAAGACTCTACATACATCTATACACACAGTATATTTACCTCAAGAAGGTAAGACTCTACATACATCTATACATACAGTATATTTACCTCAAGAAGGTAAGACTCTACATACATCTATGCATACAGTATATTTACCTCAAGAAGGTAAGACTCTACATAGAGTATATTTCCTCATGAAGGTAAGACTCTACATACATCTATACATACAGTATATTTACCTCAAGAAGGTAAGACTCTACATAGAGTATATTTCCTCATGAAGTTAAGACTCTACATACATTTATACATACAGTATATTTACTTCAAGAAGGTAAACTGGTGACTTGAACTGTTATCTAACGGAAAAAAATGTTCTTTAAAAAATGTTGATATAAGCTTATTGTCTCACCTTCATATAATATACTATGTAACAACAAGTCAGTGTTTTACACGTATTAAGTGCAGCGGACTTTTTGCTCAGGTTCACCTATGAAATTGCCCCTGTCTTCATCCTCATGGAACAGGTCACTTTGAAGAAGATGAGAGAGATCATTGGTTTTCCCAACGGTGACAGTATTTTGGGTCCAGGTAGCTAAATGCAATTACTTTTTCAATAGAATACAATATTTTTCTTTCTATATTTTCTAAAAATATTTTTAAAATAATAAAAACTTAAATCAATGATATATATATATGTATCTAAGTAATATTGAGTAATAATTTGTAGTTTAAAACATGGTTAGTAATATGTTAAACAACTGAAGTAATCCTATATAATTAATTTATTCTCAATTGTAATGCACAGCTTATACAACAGTAAAACCTTAAACAACTGATGTAATCCTATATAATTAATTTATTCTCAATTGTAATGCACAGCTTAAACAACAGTAAAACCTTAAACAACTGAGGTAATCCTATATAATTAATGTATTCTCAATTGTAATGCACAGCTTAAACAACAGTAAAACCTTAAACAACTGAGGTAATCCTATATAATTATCTCTTAGAAATTATTTTCAGTTGAAATATAATACACAGTAAAATGTCAAATATTAGTGGACAAACTGGGACTGTATCTATGCTTATTTTTATCATTTGTGCATCGGTATACATTTAAAACTTATGAACTTATGTTTGATTTACTATATTTATAATTGCATTACATTAGTCCCCCTCTGGGTCACCGGTAAGTCTACGGATTTCCAGCGCTAAAATCAGGGGTTCGATTCCTCTCGGTGGACACAGCAGATAGATCGATGTGGCTTTGCTATGAAAAGCACACACACACACGCATTACATATTTAGAAGCATATAAGCGGTTTTTCTGTATATAAGTATGCCACCTGGTGATTCAGCGATAAATTTGAAAAATTACGACACTACAATTCTGGAGTCGACATCTTCGTTGAGTACAACACACATAGATTTACCTTTAAACAAACCAAACAGGTACCTATTTATATAAAAATATTACATTTTACTTTGTATGAACACTGAAATATTTATGTTTGGATACTACTTCTTATAGTCACCCAGTGGCACAGCGATATTTCTGCATACTTAAAACGCTAAAAACCGTGTTTTAATACCCGTGGTGGACAGAGCACAGATAGCACTTTGTGTAGCTTTGTGTTTAACAACAAACAAAGCTACCTCTTATACTTTAGCAGCCACTCAGTTCTGTAAAAACAACTTCAGAAGTGAAATATTTTTATGGCTTATTTTGAAGCTCTGTATTCGATAATTACACTTCTGTGAACATATTAAACGAGATGTACTTCGCAGAGTCCCTGAAAATGTTCTGTTTCAATAGTAAATAAAACCAAAATTAAGAGTAACATATATTTTTATTTCTTGCTTTTGAAGTTCATATGTCATGCCGTGTTGTAGCCTACAGAGTGCATAATTCTTCTCTTGATTCATGGCATGCGCAAGTTTTACTGAAGTCACGATAGTACAAATTGCAACGTTAAGTGTCCCTTTTGTGACGTCAGTTTAGTGTCCACTGACTGACTGAGAGACAACACATTACTATAAACTGGTGCGAGTGGGTAAAACAGGTAGCTCCTCGAGGCGACCTTCGGCCCTATTTTAGGGAAATAATACCTCATAAATGCTTAAAGCGTGGGTATATTTTTAACAATGAGTTTCACTGGATTTCAACTCTTATTGTTAAATGAGATGATTTAGTGTACATACAAGGCATGGTGATAACTAATTAATATACAGCTCATTTGCTTTTCTAAACAACTGAAATAATTTTCGAAGCAGTTACATTTACAGAATAAAGCTCATATATTTATATATATATATATATATATATATATATATATGTTATCTAGTAGACTTAAAAAGTCCCCAGAAAAATCTAAAATGTTAAACAAATGTTGAACATGATAAGAGTTTTGTATGTTTCCCTTTCAGTGAAAATGGTTGTAACAGGTTTAGTATAATATATTGATATATATATATATATATGAGTAATACTTCAAGGCAACAGACATATCATCACCTCAAATATGTCAGAAATAAATAAATCGTATTTACATGTATTTAACCATTTTAGTCATTGTTTAATGTCTTCATTCTGTTGAACACTGTAATAAAGACACACTTCACATCTCTTACTTAGCATAGGCTTTCTTTCAAACAAGTCCAAAGTAGAAACCTGAGTTTTGAGTTCGTCTGACCTGAAAATGTAAAAAACAGCACTTTACAAAATTATTAGTACATAAACTGAGACTCATGTTTTTGGTTGTGGTCACTTTTTCTGCTTTTAATTTGTTTGTTGTTAAACTCAGAACTGCACAAATCGAAACCCGATTTTTAGCGTTATCATCTTTTAGATTTATGGCTGAACCACCGGAAGGCTACTGTTTCTGATAACGGAGAAGTTAGCGGACGCTGTTTTCGCATGATTTTAATTTTTATTAATATTCAGTCCACATGAAAGTTTTCAATTTCTTCGTCTGCCAATAACGAGTTTTCATGAAGACTATAACACAGTCATCAGAGCACCCACTTGCGCCAGTAAAACATACGGAATTTTTCACCTAAATTCAGTTTTTCATACGACTCTGGTTATATTGCAAATGCAAGTCTACAATTCTAACACGCTTTTTCTATTGGTTTTCTGGTCATCTATTTGGAACAAATCTTCAGCCTGGATGCACTTGCTAACGAAAGACTTGAACAGGAGAATATGTTAGTTTTAGTATTATTGCAGAAGACCAAATGAGTATTTGATACTGGACTGGATTTGCATGAAGATGCAATGGATTTTTTGCTAGCAGTAGAGTTTCAGGACGTTTTCCCCAAACATGGTGGATTGAAGTGGCTCCAACGATATTCCTGCTGATGACAGACTGCAAAAGTGAATGACAAATTAATTGGTCTAAAATAGGGTTTCGTTTAAAAGTTGTCCTTAACCAGTCTTGTGTATAATAGATGGATTATCTTGAAATGTTTTTACTGTGGCTAACAAACTGGCTCGTCGTTAGTGACAGCGTGATGTGTTGGCAGTTGAGCAACCAGTTCTTCTGTAAGGTCTTCTTTTACTGAGTGCACAGGGATATACTTTAGCCTCTATTTGATTTTTGCACACATCCGCACTCCTTCTGCTCAGATTATGCCAAATAATATACCAAGAATACAAGAATATTTGTGTCTGTGCTGTAAATAAAAACTATCATATCCGACCCTAGAAGCATCTGCGACTTACAGTATGATACGCATGCCAATTTATTTCTGTGTGGAGCAAAGAGAATCGAAAACATCAATCTTGGATGAATAGACATGTTAGCTGTGAAGTCCTCTTTGGTTTGCGGATTTGACGATTAAGATAGCTGGATAAAAGACGCGTAACAAAATCAACGAGCTGAGATTTGTTTTATTCGAGGTAGATGACAATATTTATTGCTTTGGAAGAAAAAACACCTATGTTTATCAATCCTTTGATGAATCAGTCAGTGACTTATTGTGGAGTGCATGATTCTTGTATCCACCTTTAAGAAGTTTGGAAATCAGAGATCAAAGACATTGTTGATTTCCTAGCATGTTTTCAAATGTTGAAACACAGCTTGCAAAAATATATCTGTGAATTATTCAAATGTTTTTGCATATGGGATGGCTTACCCAGACTTTGTAACTGTGCTATTCTATCAATGATCAAACATATATTTTTATGATAAACTTTGGGAAAGTTAGTAGAGCCTTGGATACCTTTTGTATGTGAATAAACGTAGGGTTGTCTGATAACTTATTAAGTCGTTCACCTTTGAAAGTGAGCCAGAAATATCCATCAGCTCACAGTTCATTGGGTTTTCCAGTTGAATGGATCGTACTCCCTCTGAATACACTATCAGATGCTTAAATACGTCAAACCCGGCATGGCCAGGTGTTAGGGCGCTCGACTCGCAATCTAAAGGTCGTAGTTTCGAATCCCCATCCCACCAAACATGCTCGCCCTTTCAGCCGTAGGGGCGTTATAATGCTAAATTAGGGACGCCTAGCGCAGATATCCTTCACGTAGCTTTGCGCGAAGTTCAAAAACAAACAAACTTGAATACGTTTCGTTCAGATTTGGCCGTTTTTTTATTCCTTTTCCAAAATATACTTTGTACATATCCTTATTTTTTTCCCTTTCGAATTATGTCATAGAGACTTACAATTGCCTCATTTCTGGAAAGGCTAATGTTCATAAATGATTCAACAAATTTGCTGCCTTTCGTCTCAGCTTTGAGCAAATCGTTTCTTACGTCAGAAGGATCGACGTCTTTTGTTGAGATGCTTATTATTTTTCTAGAACTCCAAAAACACTGAATTTTTTTCAAAGCAGTATAATATCATCTTCATCTTTTTTTTATTAAACGTTCACCTCCAGCATCTCTGTGACCTTCTTCGTGTATTCTTTTAATCCTAAACATTTTTTAATTGTCCTCTGTCAAACGAGTCATGTCAATGTGAGGTCACACACCAGTGATCATGCGTAGTGTTGTCGTGATGATGCCAACTGTTCATTTGCTATCTTTCCAAGGTTATTAATGCGGTCTAATTCCCGATGGTTGAGATTTGGTTGAAAGTTTTCTCTGCTTCTTTCATAATGAAGTAGTTGTTTGTTCACGTTGTTTCACGTCAACACGATACACAATGCTCCATCTGAATTAGTCCATATGATCATACAGGGGAACATTCTCGAAAATACATTCAGATAGAGACTTTATACGCCACCGCTTTCTGATCAAATAAGGTCCTTTAGTGTTTGAATCATGTCTATGTGCGTTTTTCTGAAGGAGAATATTAGGCTCTGGGTAAATATTTCGTCAAAAGTTTGCAGAAATGGCTTAAACTGGTCTTCTTTATGGTGTGTCCTAAAGTTTTTCCAAGTTCAACTTCCAAATATGATTCCAGAAACCTAAGCACGAATTTCTTCCAATAGGATCACCATAATGCTTCAGCAAGTTCAAGTGCTCTTCTTGCAATATGTTTTGTACCTTTATGTTCTTTATGCATTCCATACTCAATCAAAGACCTATCCTAGAGCTCGAACAAAGTTCATTGTAGTGTGGAACTTTCCAAGACATAAGACGAAATACTTACACTGGTTGGGATGACACTGTTACTGCTCTTTCGCTTTGCTGTACAGCAGGTGTCAAAACTGTGAGCTGATGACCAAGAATTTCTGAGCTATTCTAACAATGTACTATCGTGGTCCCCATTGTATCATACTTGGTGGCTGGTGATGGTATGATTGGTATAAATCCACTGGTATTGACAGAATTTTGAGCATGCAGGAATCATCTGGTCTGTTGTACTTACTACTTTTCTGCAGATTAATCAGATAAGACCAAGAAGATGAGAACCATTTTTTAACCAGTGTTAAATTTTACCTGAAAATCATGATGCTTGGATATACTAACACTCACTTGAAGTCAATTGCTTTGATTACGACCAGACTAATCAATGCTAATGAATTTGACATTTTCTTCAGCTGTTATTCATTTTTAAAATACAGCGATTTGAGTACGTGAAAAGTTTCTTTTTTGTCAATGAATTCTTCAAAAATATCAATGTTCTCATCTATATATTGAACAAAGTGTCCAGAAGCAAGATTTTATGGGAAAATTTTGCTGGTTGTTGTTACAAACATTTTTAAAGATAGTCTGTAATCGATATATATCTATTATCTTTTTCATACTTAATTGGATAAACGCTTATGTATAACCACTTATTGACAGATTTTGATCGCCTTGCTTTGTGAATTGCAATCATGCAATTTGGGAGTTAATTTTTATGACATTTTGAGCTGTACCTAACTATCTTCTTTTGTGGATTTTATTTCATTCTTTCTCAGTATCTACTGAACCCATAACTACCAATTCAAGAAACATATACAAACTTCCAGGAATGGCTGTTTTGCATGTTCTTCATGAGGTCCTTGATATGTGTTTCTATAGTCGCAAGATCCTGTCTTACTTTTGAGGCCACAAGATGAATCTATTTCATCCCCCCCCCAGTGGTCAGCTGCAAGTCTGCAGGCTTGCGACGCTAAAACTCGGGTTTCGATACCGTGGTGGGCAGATACAAATAGTCCGTTGTGTATCATTGCACTTAAAAAAACCCAAAATAAATCAAGCAAAGGCGAATCGATCTCTTTAGATATTCTTATTCATGTTGCAGACTTAAGGAATCGCCCAAGCAACGGTTGCTTTGTCAAATGCAAAAACCATTGTTACTGATGAAACTATGGGACATACTAATAGTGGCTGTGTCGAGTGGACACGCAAATTGTATTTTGTTAACATCATAATGGGCCAGCTATTCTGGAGTCATAAGCTTAGATATTGACTTGCTACTGGGATTCAAGGCTGAGAGTATACACATGGTCCACTTTAAAACCACAATCCTCTTCTAGAGTTAATGGAGTATTTTTTATCAAACATACTGTAAGTTTCTTGTCTTTGACCTGAATTTCTATTAAATTCGTAAGCTGTTAAATCAAGTTCAGCAATATTACAGCTGAGCGTTTCGTCTTAGTGTGTAACTGTATGACACTTTTGTTCAATAATTTTTGTCAAAGTATATTCTAATAAAATATACATTTACTAGCTGGAGTACTCGTCCCCTTGATGGAAGCTATGTAAATTCATGATTAATGAAAGGTTGTCTTAGGACATGAACAGTTGCTTCCCATATATGAAATTGTGAAAAACGCCCATAAAAACTGCAAAACACAAAATTTTGAACCGGAATTTTGTATCTATCTCCGGATTGACCCAACAAACCCTCATGCCAAATTTGGTGAAGGTCCATCAACAGAGGGCGAAGTAATGGTAAAAAAACGTCCATAAAAACCGCAAAATGCGAAACTCAAAATTTGTATGTATCTTCCCATGGACCCAATGAACCTCCGTACCAAATTTGGTGAAAATCCATCCACGGAAGGGGGAGGTAGCGGTAAAAAACGCCCATAAAAACCGCAAAATGCGAAACTCAAAATTTATATGTATCTCTCCATACACCCAATGAATCTTCCTACCAAAGTTGGTGAAAATCCATCCAAAAGAGGTGAGGTAGTGATAAAAAAAATGCCCATAAAACCGAAAAACGCAAAAATGAAAATTTATATCTATCTCCGCATGGACCCAACAAACTTTAATGCCAAATTTGGTGAAGATCCATCAACAGGGGGCGAGAAGTAGTAGTAAGAAACGCGAAAACGCCCATAAA